AGATAAAAAATTTTTGCTCACCACTCAATTTTTTCAGAATATGTAAATGATCATTATACTGCGAAAAATTCACTAAAGCACTAGAAATCTCGAACATTAGTTATCACAATGGCTGTCAGCTCAAGTGGGTTTATATAGCGAAATCGCATACTCGACCAGACCTCTTAAAGGTTGGTGGCTGATAGCTAACATGGAGATGTTGAAGAATGAGTGGTGGCGCAAATGTGCTTCGGTGATGTAAAAGTAGAGCACGAGTCCTTGGATAGGATGAAACTCGGGTTCGATTCCCGCCTGAGACCGTGTTTTTGTTCATCACCCAGTTCTTATAGGAATATATGAGAAAAGAGAAATGAACAAAACAAATTCTGACAAAAAAAATGAATAAAGAATTCGATAAAATTGTCGCGATTAGTAAAGAAATAATGTAAGAATGCAAAAATTAACGAAATGCGAAGTTCATGGAGCTTAGCACATGTGCTATTCATGACATCCTCAAAATCATTGACTCCGTACATGGTCCAAGCATGACGCTCCAGGCCTCGCAGACAAATTCTTGGGACAATACTGTAGCACAGAATCCACCGAAGCGCAGCTTGGAAATGTTCTTCCTCACCCTGTATTTTTTCCGATATACATAAGTGTCCTGCACGTGATTCGACATGGAACTTCTTGAAGATATGTTGTTTTCAGAAGCCTCATATTCTTGACGTAGTAAAGCAAAAACGACAGCGACGTTCAAATCGTTATAGAAACTCAGGATCGAATAGAATCGGCTATTGGAGCATTAATGTATATCGGCCGTTTGAAATGCATCACTTGTTTTACCTACTTTACTTGACATTAAAAAAAAAGCTCTCGGCGTTGATCAATCCCTGAGGGATGCGCCATGCATTCGACTTCAATTTTTAACTTCGTTTGAGGTGATTGAATGCATATCTGGCCTTTACAATGACTCACGGAGGCCTCCCACTGAACCGAGTCAGTGCTGCTTATTCTCCCAGACAAGTCTGAGACCTGTCTGGTACCAATTTACCGACCCCGGAGGGATGGATGGCTTGGTGAGCCATGAGCGCGAGATCGAACCATTGACCTCATGTGCGACGCAGGGCACCTCTAACCACTGCGCCACATGCGCTCTCTACTTGCTCATTTTGCTATTTGCTCATTTTACAAACTGCAGCTACTCTTGTTAAAGGGAAAGCTCGAATACAATTTGAAGCGAAGGCACAGTACAGCTTGGCGAGAGCACAGCAGTCCTTCAAATCACTGGTACAAATACACGCCAAGTCGGGTTGGTATACACCGCCTACAACTGAAGGATGACAGCGGTCATCGTAACTTTGTATATCCTAGTTTTTCTATCATGCTGCTTTCGAAGATGCTATCATTGTCTCTTTTTAGTCAGTCAACCCTTCAGAAGTCATTTTATTGTTCCTTTATCGTTCACTATCATCAACTATAGTATCACATCAATCTAATTCATAATAGCAAATGAGAAAATCACAATACTTTAGAACTCGGTGTTTACAATCATCTTTCGTTATTAATCCGTATATGCTTTCAGTAGTAATAACTGGTCATTAAAGACTGGAATCCTCAGCTGGTGTTCTTTTTGTCCAAAATTTACTAATTATGTCTCCATTTTATTCTTGAAATGCATATTTGTACAGTTTATATAACACATCGATCGCCTGCTTCATCAGAAGTTAGTATGTTTACTTGACATTAACTCGGCTAAAATCGTAGCTGAAGTTAAATATTTTCTTCCCGTAACTGTATCGTGATTCCCAATTCCGTTGCACAAGTTGGAAATGAGCAGTGACTTTATACTGTTGATTAGGTAACTCGTTATGAGTACTTAGAATGCGGTTAATTGTTCATAGGTAGATGTGGTTGATATTAGCCATAACATAACGACTGATGTCTACCATTTCTCAAGTTTAATTCACCCAGACTTGTATTGTCATACTTGAATCATACATTCTGATTTCGTGAGTTGTATGCATTCTACCTTGGAAGTCAGTTGACCCTTCGTTGCGCCCCAAAGCTAGGCTTTAGCTCTTTTACAAATTTTGGAAACTGTACTCGTTATGTATACTGTTGTAGCCATCCTTGTATTCCTGTCTCGCTAGGATTGTACTATTGTTATAACGATAAAAGATAATTCATATCTGCGAGGTTCGACACAGAGGCAACTACCAGGTGTCATATTATGAAGTTTGACGATCATATCGCATTAGTTATGAACACCTTTGCTTTCTTTGCCCAAGAGTAGTATTTCGTTCTGCGTGTAAGAAAATTTCAGAGCCACCTATTTCTCTGCTTTGCTTTACGTGCGCTGCTATTTTCTATCTCTAATGTTTATATTATTTTTCTCCCTTGGTACCGTTTCAAGCGATATATCATGATGAACTGGTTTTTCCAGCCGTAAGGAGATTTCGCACATTTTTCTTTTTTATCAGTTGATTGATCGAAGAATCTTAATAAGTGTGTTAATACTGATCGATTTGTCTTGAAGTCGATTTTGCAGTGTGAGTTCAAACATTATTCTGTAGAATGGCAACACAGACGTTGCGGGCGCTTCTCTCGCTTTACTGCTACCTATTTCCATAGTCATTTCCCCGTACATTTTAGCGTTGACTGCATGCTTGCTGTCGAGCAATTTCCAAAGCATCATCCAGTGCCATTTCCATTTGTCTTCCTAATTTGGATCTTCCACTTTGATTGAGCTAGCGGGTCTTCGCCGCAAAGGAGCCACTAAATGTGGCATGAATTACTTTCATTGTAGACTAAGAACCTATTTCCAGTGATGATCGACCTGGGAAAGACTTTTCTATGCGGTCATAGGAGATCTATCGCGCATGGCCATGCATTGAGCTCGGTTATGGTGGGCAGATGCATGTGGTGTCCGTCGATACACTACTATGCGATAGCCCAATTCATTTAGATGGCGAGCAATGGTGCTACGGCTGCATTTGCAGACCTTCTCGACATCCCTTATTCAAACATCAATTATACACCTTAATAGCGCAGATCGTAGTCGCCAATGATGATTGGCCGTCCGTAGTAAGGTTGACTGGGACAATACGTGTCGCTTTCTTCAAAACGCTTGAACCACGATTCATAGTCCGATCGGTCGTAGTGTCCGCCCAAAATCAGCGTCGGCCGTCTTGCTTACACTGATCTTCAACATACATCTGGAAAAACAGAATCGAGTGTAACTGTATCTCACTCATTTTGACTTTCAGTAATTTAAGTGCACCCAATTATTTGCTCCGTTTATCGTGAGCGATGTGAAACTCTTAATGTCCATTGAACCGTGAACTTTCTGCTTTCTGTGTCTACAAAATACTTCCTAGAATACTATGTCTCTTACACGTGATGATAAAAATCGCTCATCCATTTAGTATTAAATCGGTTTATCGGCTTTCAAGACAATGTACTTCAGGAAATTCTCTTTACATCATCCAGTTTTCAAATCAAACACATTTTACGCATGTTCTACAAACTATGGGAATGCTTAGTAATGCAGTTTCTTTGTAGGCAGTGCTGCTCCGACCCCCTAACCCAGCAGCTGCAGGAGTCCACGTGGAAACACCTTAGCGCGGTTATCTCTAAAATTATAAAGAGAACTGACTCAACAATCATTCTAGTACATTCATTAGGCGGATAATTTCCTTAATCAATAGTCAGCTGGAAGCCACCATGAAAGATTTAGTGACCTCTGAGGAGGGTGAATATGAGAAACCGTATCAGAACAAATGCTGGGGCACGCAAGATAAATCGTCATGACAAGTCACGTCAAAAAAGAGACATACGAAATAATCTGTACAAACTTATCTTGAAAAACAAATCAAAGCAATATGTCTATCTTTGCAGTTTAGATGCTTTATCTGGTCACTAGTGAAGCAGTTCAAGCATAATATTTTCCATAATTAGTTCTCATCTACTAGCATCTATTCGATACGATTCGGCTTCCAAACTTCTGAGTAGTCTGTAGGGTAGAGTAGATAGTATCTAATATACTATTTCCAACTCTTGGCCTATTGATTCTCATCATCCAGAAAATGTTATTAGATACTTATACCACAACATTTAGACCAGATTCCTATAGACTTGAGTCTTACACTAGGCATATGTATTTCTCTTAATTCACCTGTATCACCTGTCATCCCGTTGAAGGTCTAGTGACACGAACGGGCATCTGTGAAACTTCCTCTCGTCCTCAATGAGTACATGAGTGGACTAGTGAGTCTTTCTTTCAGTAGGAATTCGTTAAGCAGCACATTTTCTTTTTAGGCCTTTTGTAAAGAAACGGACCACCGAGCCCGTTGGTCTGTCGTGGCGCTTTTTTCTTAACAGTTTAGTGGTTAGTACCCACATTTGTCTTCTTCTCTACATCATTGCAGTAAATTCTCCTCTACCATGCTCTTCTGAGTGATGCTACGGAGCTTTCGATCATTGCTACTTCTAAACAGCTGGTTAAAGGGATCGTTAGATGGAACAGAAAAAAACATTCTGCATTCCATTTATTTTAGAACCACATTTTTTTATTTCGCTGGGCCTTCACTTCTTCCCTCCGTGGTTTTTGGTCGATGACGTGCATAGAAAGGTAATCGGAATTTTTTACGCACGTTTGATTAGGAGGAGTTTTGCTCTTGATCAAATTTGAACCCCAAGATGGAAATGTTTTAAAATTGACAGATGAGGTTACAGAAATAATTTAGAGAACCAGAAACGACAAAAAATTATGCCACAAGCTTTTTTCTTCTGAGAGTACGAAAAAGCTTGGCAGGGTGCATTCTATGTCTATTGAGTTATCTAGATTCTGTAGACAGAGATAACGCCGTAGATAACTTGATGGCGGCATATTTTTTTTGCGTCCGATTTAATAGACTAACTTACTCTTTCCCGGGCGCTCAGCTTCATAAGGATGCATTCGCACTCCCTTCTATATTATTACTAACATTATCCTTTCTGTAGGTGTAAGGGCAACGGCCGCCGTAGCTCAGTCGAATAAAGCGTGGGCCTAATAAGCCCAAGGTCGCGGGTTCGACCAGTGTTAGCAGCACATTGTTTTCTCTCCGAGTAGACAACCTTACTCTTTCCCAGGAGCTCAACATCATAAGGATACAGTCGCATTCCTTTTATATTGTTAATAATAATGTCCTTATTGTAGGTGTAGCCTGGGTATAATAAGCCCAAGGTCGCAGGTTCAACCCCTGCTGGCAGCATATTATTTTGCGTCCGATTAGACAATCTTACTCTTTCCCAGGCGCTCATTTCATAAGGATACAGTCGCACTCCTTTTAATTTTGTTAGTAACATTGCCTTTCTGCAAAGCTATAGTATTTCTACTGCCTTTTTCACAGTGTTATGATGTTACTTATATAACTAAGAGGACTGAGTGATGAGCAAAAACACAGCCTTAGGCGGGAATCGAACCCGCATTTCATCCTATCTGGGGACACGTGCTCTACCACTACACCACCGAGGCACATTTGCCCGACCACTTATTCTTCATCATCTCTATGTTAGCTATCAGCCACCAACCTTTAACAGGTTTGGTCGGATAACGATTTCCTTTTATAAATCCCGCTAAGCTGACAGCCACTGTTATATGATAAAGAATGAGTGGTCGGGCAAATGTGCCTCGGTGGTGTAGTGGTAGAGCACGCGTTCCCGGATAGGACGAAACGCTGGTTCGATTCCCGCTTGAGGCCGTGTTTTTGCTCAGCACTCAATTCTCTTAGTCATTATCCTTTCTGTAGGTGTAAGAGCAACGGCCGCCATAGGTCAGTCGGTTAGAGCGTGGGTCTAATATGCCCAAGGTGGCAGGTTCGACCCCTGCTGGCGGCACGTTGTTTTGCATCCGATTAAACCAACTTACGTTTTCCCAGACGCTCAACTTCATGGGAATACAGTCGCACTCCCTTTCATGTTACTAGTAATATCGTCCTTTTTGTAAGTGTAAGAGCAACGGCCGCCATAGTTTAGTTGGTTAGATAGTAGGTCTAATAAGGCCAAGGTCACGGGCTCGAACCTTGCTGGCGACGCATTGTTTTGCGTCCGAATAAATAGACAAACTTACTCTTTCGCGGACGCTCAACCCCATAAGGATGTAGTCCCACTCCCTTTCATATTAAGAGTAATATTGTCATTTATGTAAGTGTAAAAGAAACGGCCGCCATAGCTCATAGCATCAGCTGCACAGAAACCCAGCGTTCCTCAATCGATTCGTTTCAGTTGTACAATTATTTTCTATTTTAAGTAGTTACGGTTCTTTTGAGTTTCATATGTACTTATCAAATTCCATGATGAGGAAAGGCATCACAAGCATAAATGAGTTCACTCGACATCCAAGCATTGAGACAATGCCATAGGAACATGTGATAGTCATTATAGGACAGAGGGTAGCTCCAACTCCAACCAGTCTGTAGCAAACACATCTCTACCCCTCTGTAGAAAGACGGATTCTAAAGCAAATCTCACATTTCCCCCGCATCAAGTGTGTTGTAGTAAAAAGCACTGCAGAAAACACATACACTAACGAATGTGATCATGAACGCAAAGTCTAAAATCAGAGGTCTGTTATCCAATTTCCATGAGAAATCAGCAACAGCGTATTTAGTCGCGAATCATTTCCATATCGAGGATCTCTGTCCCTATCACCTAAACAAATTGCCACTAAATCAGTGTTTCAGAACGGCTATCGATGACATAAAGAATTGAAACGTTATAAAACGACATAGTATTAATGCTCATTTGTATTTCTACAAGAGAATCATTAATTTTCGAAGAATTGTTATATTGTATACTCCATTCATAGGCAGCAAATTCCCAACTAGCAAATTGCTCAGCCTGTGTAGGAGTATTCTTGTTTCCTCGCAGTATTATTAAGATCACCTATAAAGCACGTTTAACAATCATGTAATATACAAGTGGTATAAAGCTCCGAATACATTCTTAACGCGCATAATCTGTGAAAAAACCAGTTGATATTGTACAAAACTCTTTTAACACAACTTATACCGTCATAAAATCTATAGTAGATATTCGTTTTCTATATTCATGGTTCCGTTTGACTCGTTAACTAAGCAAACGCCAAATCTTTCCATGTGTAACGCTATCCCAAAATATTTGGCGACTGGATAGTTGAGTTCAATATATGTACTGAGCGACTCCTTATTAACTGCATGAGAATATTGCACATCAAAAGCACTCTGAAATTACAGACTCTAACTGTTCAAAAATCAAATGCATTAAGAGAAAAAATAAATGAAATTTTACGCTCTTATCTTGAAAGTCTTGAATACTTCGTTCATGTTGCAAAAGGGTGAGCACAATTTATCGAAGCGAAGTTCAGTTCCTTTATGATCAACTGTGAAATTTGTGTATAGGAAATCAATGAGTCTTTCTTCTTCGTCCAGGTGTTGTTTACGAAGCATTGAACCCTGGTCTCTTGCCAGCAGCAATACTATGGTCATCATCGGGTCACCTAGAAGAATACACGTACCTAGGGCAAAGTTGGGAAACTTCAAGAATCTAAAGAGATTCGAGTTTAAATTCACTAGAAGAGTTCCAGAATTCACGCATAACTTCTGTTTCATAACGAGATGGGGCGTTGACAGGCGTGTACCCGTCCCTAATACGATCACGGAGATTCATCCAGTACATTCCACCAGAGTTCATGCATATCAATTCCTTAAAATGATGTTTAACTTCGATTCTCCAGAGAAATTTGATCACTTCATGTGATCATCAATGATTTAATCGCGTCCAATTGTGAATTTTTGACTACTCTTGTGGGAATTGAACCAACTCTTCCATTGCGGATCTAATATTGTATTCCTCATAGAAAGGCTAGGGGAAGACGAAAAGTTTTAGAAGCTCACAAAATTTAAATGTAGTTTCGTAGTGTTTGTAAGCAAAAATAAGCTGTGAGAAGACGTTTGACTGAGCAAACTGGACTTAAAACCAACTTGCCCCAACAAGAAGGTAAGCATATGGATAGGTAGCAACACTCTTACCGAGCAAGTAGAATAGCCCATGAAGGCTGAAATATTTTGACAACCTCAGCAGCCTGAGACGAGGCTGGTTTTCTGAAACTCGTATAACCGTGATGTTGACGTGTTAACGGCAGAATAATTAAATTTTTTTTCTCTTGTTATTAATTTGTAGTTGATAAGTTTTGGGTATTATGTACTGCTTATGTGATTCAGTAGCTAAACTATGTCCTTTCATCGTACGATAGTTCTTATGCACTAACAACACACCAATTCTATGTTGGCCTTTCAATGAAAGTCTTCCTTCTTCCCAATGTTGAGTATTTTCGGGTGGCTGATGATCAACGTTCTAAAGAGGCACTCATTACCGCTTTTCACCACAAGAAATTATTCTTATCGAACTCACGCTGTGCATTCGTTGCTCATCTTCTGACAAGTCTTGTAGGGACATTTGTTCCGTGTTGTCTCTCAACATTGCTCATTTTGAACAAATACGAAAACAGATCCTTTCAATGCTAAGACTTTTCCAATTTGACGATTTGGAGCGATGCATGCAATTTCTATTTAATCACTATGCCGAAACCTACGACATATACTGAAAACAACATTATAAACAGCTCTGAGAGAAAGAGAACGTCGCAGAGCAAAGGTTGGCAAAAGTTCAATACGTTTGATGAGCTACAGTACATTCTTGTCAGTTTAACACACGAACCAAAGCACATGGTAAAGAAGCTCAATTCGAAAGGAGGCGGTAAACCGTTAAGAAGAGAGCTCTGAAAAATTAATAAATATTAGGCTGGGAGGAAAGTTCTGGGCACTTGTAAGAAGTTGAATATTTATGCATGGATTCCAAACAGAAACAATATTAACTCTTCTTCGAAATAAATGCCATCGTTTTCTATGACATTCCGTCATTGGTCCGTCAAGTTTCGGATCAAGTCGAAGTACCATTCCTTCGACTTCGAATCAAAGAGCACTTAATTAAGAAGCATGTCAATCACAACATTCTAAGTAGTTTATCTACTTGTTGCTTCATCTGTGACCTATTCGTAAAAGCCTCAACAATAACTCTTTAGGCCATTGATTGTAGTGAAGAATTGATGTAAAGATGAATTGAGAGAATCTTGCCAAAAGGAATGTCGGCTTAAATGCAAAATCAAATCAACTCTTTCTTTTTTCGAATTTTCTCATCTTATACTGAAATTGAGGTGCGACGGAGTTTTACGCCGTTTATAGTGAAAAGAACAGTATGTGGTATGAATTCAACATGATATGAGTGCCATTCTCTAACCATTTTGCTTTCAAAACTTTCACTAACACTTAGCTTCAATATGCCAACTGCTCACAAATAGTTTGTTTGGAAAGGCGAGGCAAAACAGCTTGTCAAAGTTAAGGTTCTGAGCCTTTTCAAACGTTGGAAAACTGATCTGACATACTGACAAGTATGCGTGGTTTTTATGCAATGCTATCCACATCCTGCTAAGCAAATGTTTTTTTTATTGTCTCAACTTCCCATGAGCCAAGCAAATCCCAGCTGTACGAACTGTAAAGTATCTGTGAAAAATTCCGAAGATCCTTACCTCAACAATCAATCTACTCCACACTGGTCGTAAACTAAGGATTAGGAATGTTGTTTGCTATACATCGCATTTCAGGTATTTCTTTAACACGGGTGCAGATTAAAAATCGTTTCAGTATTCTAGAGAATCAAGAAACTGCAGCATTACCTGAGTAAGCATCATTTCTGAAGTATTTTTTTTGGATGCCTATCTTCTTCTCACTTCAAATCAGTAGCGCTCTCTAGCATGATGGGATAATAATATTCTCTTTCCACCGCACCACTACCACTTAATACACCCACAGCAACATGCATAAAATTTGAGTGAGAGCGGTCGTGTCTCTTAACTTTCAAAATTTTATCTCAGATGATGATTAAACCAATATCAGTTGAATAAGAAACCTTTAGAATCAATGGTTTTTTGATTGAAAAGATAGAACTTTCGCGCAAAGTTGTTCGATGCCGAGTGCCCATAGCCCAAGTATTGTGCTCTCGTCGTCTACTTTCTTCAAGGCTCGTATTTCGAACATCGAAGAAATCGAATAAGCAGTACCAACCTCGTTTTAGGCTAAAAACATTCTTTTTTTTGATTTGATTTTGAATGTTTGTAACGAGGTTTTAGAAACAGTCGACTCAATGGATTAGTTTTCCAGCCGAAACATCGACTGATGGTGATGGACCAGTGTCATTGTACACTATGCCATCACCACTTACCACATACGCCTCCCGCCTTGCTACAATGCAGAGCTTAATGTGGGGCGGGGGTCACTGACGAGGAGGACGAGCCTGCGAAACACCGGTGTATGGCCCTGGCGTACCAACCTCGTTTTAGGCTAAAAATAGCAAATCATCGGCATGGCGTCACATCAATAACGATTCATTACGCAATATTTTTTCTTTATTCATAATGGTGAGCTATATAAGGCAACTTCAGTGACATCGTGCACAAACGGAATAAATCATCAGTTTTCACACTCTCTCCTTTCAAATTCTGTGTGATAAGAGAAAAGATGCAAATGTAATAAGAATGGCAAAGAACGATTATCCTTATGCTGACAAAGTATGAAGCAGCCGGTATAGGTAGAAAAACTATTCCCTTCTAGTGCCCTTCATATTTACGTCTTAGGAAATATTGAGTGATAATACATTTTGGCAAAGCCGTTCGCTGCGAGTCTCTAGCTGCAGCTGACCATCGATTTTCTTGTGAGTATTTCAGTTGGAAGAGAAAATACGTCCTGGATGTTTGCTCTGTTGCGTTTAACCGTTCCGATTATGATAATCTTCCGGTGGTGAAACACCCTTGAAATCGAAAAAACGGTGAATGAAAAATTTCAAAACCATTATGCAGAACGGCGAAAATGTCTCACAATGCACAACATCGTTCTCTTCACCATCAACGCAGTTGAATTCGTTACACTCAGTACGGCAACCACAGGGGTTTATTTCCTCCGCACTTCTTTCAAAAGAAAAGCAACAAAGTGGTAATGGTGCA